TTTAAGAAAGGAAAAAAACTGTATTAAAATTGTAATAATATATACCAATAACAAAAGATGAATACAAGTCATGTGTATACAGATTTTTGGCACCCCCAGTGTAATCATCTAGCCCCAATATTTTTTTTTCAGTAACATCCATGTGTAGAGGATAATGTTAAATCCTAGATTCAAATGAGAACTTCAGCTCCTAGAATCCTCAAGAAATGTGATATTTTAGATAACTTCTAGATAAAACTCTCAAAGTTTTACATTATCACTTTGAATGGCATTTCTTTTAAATTTGATCACTTCTCTTCATTCCTCAGTAGAGGATATGTATTTATTGCAGAACAATTACTATTTCTGCTAATTCGAAGTCATCATTTCAAACATCAATGTTCTTACTTTGAAAAAAATACAGTATTTCCTCTGAGCCATTTGAGATCTGAAGGATTTTTAAAGAAATGGTCCCAGATATATGTATTTTCTTTGGGGATTGAAATATCTCTATACTCTTTCCACAGTTTTGCTAACCCTTACTGAGAGAGTCTAATGGGGAACTGGAATTATAAATACCTAGGAAATCTCCTGTGGAAGGGAAAAAAGGAAAGGGTGAAAATTAAGGACAAAGTAGAAAATTTAATGTAGACACTCAATTCTTTATAATGATCCAGGTTGATATTCAGTACTAGCCAAAGAGAAGTATAATTTCTGTCTCTACAATATCTCCCCTGATGCTTTTTCCTATAATAATAAGAATTCTTATAACAATGAGAATTCTTATAACAATGAGAATTCTTATAATAATAAACAATGCCTTCTCTTTATCAGTCATAAATAAAAGAACAGACTACCAACCTACCAGGGAGAGTTCATATACATGTGTAAGTGAATTTCTGTCAATGGCTTCAGATTTTTTTTTCTGACTTCACCAGGGTAAGAGTATAGAAAGGGTCTAGATCCTGAAGATATCAGTGAGGGTAAAAGGATGCTTAAACAGTGGGTATCAGATTCTGAAACTAGGTATTTCCATCAACACTGGGTATTGTGAAGTAGAAAACGGGGTACAAAGCAGGATGGTCACTAAGATTTATAGGTGAGCACCTGCAATGGTGAATGATTTAGAGAAAAAGACAATGAAAGTACTTTATGGTCTACAAATCCCCTTGTAAATAAGTGTAAAGATTATTATTATGAAACCACTGATTTGAGTAGGAAGTGTTTGAGTCTGTGGAATTAGTAAAAGCACCCAAATGTTCTTTCGGATAATGATGAATCACTTAGCAGCTTCAGCAGAGCCTATGAAGCTCAGGTCGTTGGGGACAGGCTGTGTTTGGTGTGACCTATGGTTTCCCTGAAAGTCTTGCTAGATGTATTGGTAAACACCAGCTACCAGAAACCAGACTAGCATTGTCCTTTTCTCGCCCACAATTGTATGACGCATGAATCCATCTCGAATCAAGTGAAACAGAGCAAGCCAGGCTGGGAAGCACCGTTGGAATTCCACCAGAAATCGCTGCTGATTTACCAGCTAATGTGTTCCTCCCATATGTACTAAGGCAAAGACACACACACTCCCAGTTGTCTGTAAGCATAATACACTCAAATTTACCCTTGGGGCTTCAGAAATAAACTGCCTCCCCAGCAAGGACTCTCACTTTTTACTTCCTAACTTACTAAGCTTCTTAATAAAGCAATCTAGAATTTAATTAAAGTGGAATAAAAATTCAAAAATATACATGGATGTCTTCTTCAGAAACACAACTTATCTGGCATTCCCAAGAACCTAAATGTCAACATTTTCCCAGCAAAATGCAGTTGCTTCCAATTCGTGGAAAGGCTGCCTTCAGCAAAGCTCTCAGGTTTCCTACTTTACAAAGTTCTCTGAGGTAGGAGGGTTTTGCAGCAATACGTTCAGGAATAAAAAGGTTCTTGATATACCATCACTAAGCACAGTGCCTGGCACACAGCAAGAACCGGGTAAATATGGGTTGAGTGGAGAGTGAATAAACATCATTTCTTTGCACTGGAATTTTAAAATTATGAAATGAATTGAATACCTAAGTTTATGAGAATTTTGGAAGTTTTCCTGAGTGGGGGGCATAAGAATTGGGTAGTTTGTGATTGTAACTCTAGACTATTCTAAGGAACTATCTTTACATGGTCTGGAATCCACTGTTTTCCTTAAGATAAACCCCTAAAATAAAACGGAGAAGAAAAAAAAATGAAGGGCCAAAAATTACAAGGGAACCATTAAGGGTTTCTTTGACTTCTAACGAATCAACAAAAGATGGATGAACTGGGAAAAAGAATCAGTACCATTATTATTATTCTTCACTCAATTTTGTGAGCCCCAATTGTGTGCCAGACAAACTGCTATGTACATTACAACTCTGCAAGGTAAATCTTATTATCTTCATTTCACAGAAGCGATAACTGGGGCTTAGAGATGTAAAAAAAAAACGTAACTTGTAAATAGGACATGGATGATTAAAATCCAGAGCAAAAACTGAAGACCATGGATTAAATTAATGAAGAAATTTAGTTTTACACACAGTATTTCATTTTACAGATAACTACTCTGACATCTATACTAATGTGCTGAAAAGGACTGAGTAATATCAGTGAGGGGATTTGGATCAGGGATTCATTGTTACCAGTTGTCACATACACGGGAAAATCTCCATGCCTTCAGCAGCGTATAAATACAGTGTGTCTGTTTTTCAAGTGAGGGTGGAAACATTTTGTCTTATAATAAGGGTGTTTTCTGGATATCCTAAGCTATTTCTAGATATTTATACATATAAAACCAACACCAACAACAAAAAATACATTGACCTCACTCGATTAAAACAAAAACAATCCCCATAAACTGGATTACTCAGCTAAATTATTTCGTAAAAGTAAACTAAAAGCAGGGCTTTACTCTATACCTGGCCCTGGAAGAAATCTCTGCTGTTGCACTGCCACCTGCCCAACCCCATAGACAAAAGTAGAGAGAGAGAAAAGGCCAAAGAGGTCTGGTGTTCAGTCTTTTCATATTCTATATGAAGCCAAGTCTGAAGAAGTTAATCATGTTTAAGCTAGTTATAAAGGCAAGCTTAAATTTTAGGATTCCAGATTTCCAATACAGAATTTTCTCTACCTTTAGTGTGCAGTTTTTAGGTTAATATTATGGCAAAAAGCACCCCTATAAGTTTTCTGTTTCATGTCTCCTGTGTCAGAAAGCATTTCAAATACTATTTTGCTTCTTTCTCTTTAAAAAATTAAAATAGCTAGTCCTCAAATTGGTGTGTCTTTTTTTGACTGCCCATTCAGGGTTATGAAGGAATTAAGCAGAACCACTTTAATAGTACTTCCTTCCTATCCCTTCTCCTCTCACTATTTATCCTTCTGTTAATGTTGCCTTTTGTATCAAAAAGTAAAGGAAAACCTGAAAATAAATGCCTCACAATACATCATAAAAGAAACAACAGGAAATGCCAGGACTTGCAAAATTTTTTATCACTCACATTGAGCAATGACAGTTGGTCCTAAAGTTGGCAATTGTTTGCTTTTAAAAACAGAATTATCCATACATAATAAATTTTGTGGGGGCAATTTCAAGGTTCCAGGTCTAAGAAATAAGTCCACATAGCCATGCATTAGAGGAAGATATTACATGAAGCTGGTGCAAAGTTCCTATAATCTTTGTTTTCATGTTGAAAGTTTGTATGTGTTTAAAATAATGACTAAAGAGAACACAACTTTTTCAAGCAACTTAATTTTCTTTGGAACATTTAGACTTGAAGTAGAATTGATACTAGTTGAAATTTTTGTCTACCTGGAGAGTCTCTCATCCCACTCTCATCCACTCTTAATTTCAACATATTTTTGAAAGAACCTAGAGGTCTTGAACAGAGTATAACTTATGGCATTCAAAGCTCACTCAGTCTGATTAATACAGGAATCCCTACTAAATTATCCCTGGGGTGTCCATCCAATTTTTGCTTAAAAAAAAGTCAAAGATCTACACAGAAACAACTGTTGACAAAAATGTTATATATATATATATATATATATAAAAATGTTATATATATATATATATATATATGACATTTGGGGGTAGTTGGAATATTTAAGTAAATATTTACTTCACTTTGAATGAGCAAATTTACCATTCCAGAATTCACTTATCTTAGCATATTGTCAACTATGGCATAACAACCATTATAAATTTAAAAAAATGGCAATGTTGCGGTTTAATAAATGTTTTTTGGACCAACTCCAGCAAACTGGGAATATGCCTCAAAATAAATGTGCTCCATTAAAAGGCTTTAAAACAAAATAAGGAACAGAGTGAGGATAACTTAGAAAAATTCTTGATTTGACTATGAATATATAGACTTACCACTGCATCCAGGGAGAAACCTGAACTAGAAGCTGAAAAAGATAATATAAAGCCCCTAGAAATGGAACCTACCAACAAATACAAAAATGAAACATAGAAGAATCAAGCATAGGGCAGGGACAAAAAAAAATAAAGTTTTCCAAGAAAGTTTCAGAGCCCCTTCAACAGGCCAACTTCTGGGGCTCTCCAAAACAAAAATTCATTTATCCTACGATTGTGTGAAAGCTTCTCAAATCGGAGATCTGCTTGTGTGAAGCTTATTAGCCATTTGCATCACAGCCTGAGGCAAACATGTCCAAACCTCAGAGCTAGCAGGAGAGCCCTTCTAAGCTGGCTTACTGCAATGCATTGAAACAGTCTTAGCACAAATACACATTCAATGAAGTCCCTGAAATGACGGATTCCGCTTCTCCCAAGGACTGTGCAGAGGCTCAGAAATCAGACTCATCTTGGACACAGAGTGAAGAGGCATTGACACAAAGAACAATTGGAAAAAAAAAAAAAAGAACTTCACAGAGTTTTCCACCTCTGCGTTGTATTAACCTGGAAAGGATGCTTCTACACGGCTGCAAGGGCATGCAGAGGGGGACGTGACACCCACAGGGAGGGGGGACCGATTCCAACTGACCTTTTTGCTGTTTAAAGGACTGAATGGAGCCTGAATGGTGAACCATTTTCACTCTGTGCGTCCCCGCCGGGTTAGGAAGCTGTCCTAGAGGGAGGCGGAGAAATAGTAGCCAGACTCGGAGAAGATCCCAGAGCCTCCGGGAGCGCGCTGCAATCGGACACCTGCTTTAGCGGGCGCCTCGCTCCAAAGGCTGCGCGCCCAATGTTGTCATGGCAACATTTAAGGGCGGTCCAGCCTCCGACTCCCCGTAGTGGCTACTTGCGGAATAGCCCGCATCCCCTGCCTCCAATGCCGCAGCGTGGGTGGGAGTTGCGCGGGGTTTGCTGGGAGAGGGAGGAGAGGACCTTAGTGACTGGTGAATAAGTCCCAACAAATCTCCAGAGCCGTTAGCAATTCCCTCTTTTTCAAGTTTTGAGGCTGGTTGTTAAATATGGGCATAAGCATTAATTTTATAGAAGTTGCTGTATAAACACTGGCACTTGCAGGAGAGCTCTTCTCTGAGAGGAATGCAACCACAGATACAGAGACATTTTGCGTCTTTCTCTCTTAAACTTGAATACGGAAACTATGGATAGTTTCTGCTTATCTAGTAGAATGGTTTTATTACATAAGATGTGTTAGATGTCCAGTGCATCACACTTCAGTTGTCCTCTTGTGCTTCAACTATTGAGGCTTTGACTCATATGATAGTGACATTGGACCATTTATTACAGATGCGGAGAAAAAAAGTTATCCGTGATGCTTCATTTAACCTTCATGAGAGTCCTATAAAATAGGTAATTATTCTAATATTACAAAAGAAACCAAAGCTCAGAACTAGGAAGAATTTTCAAGATCACATATGCCATCGCCTTCCTTGAAAGTGAAGGTACCTGCTTCCCAAAGAGGTGAGGTCATTTTCAAAAGGCCAACCCTCAGTAGCTAATCAAGGATTAGGAGTCAGCTCAACACATTTTCAGTACAGGATCTTTTTCTCATCACTGCTGCCACATTCAAACCTCCTAAGTTCCTCCTGGAAGAGGGAACTTATTACTGAACAGATACACAACAAAAGAGTCTATTGTTGCCTGAGTTTTGAAGGTTTGTGAGGTCAACTGAGAATCAGAAGAAGGATCCAAATAAAGGCAGATGAGAAAGAGAGAGATGCAGAGATTCAAAATTTGCAGAACCTCGAACAGGTGGAGCTGCTATCTGATAGTCTTTGATGTTCCCATGTGGTGCATGATACAAGGGCAGCAAAGGGAATGTGGCTTTGAACAAACAGATGTTCCAGCTTTATGTGGCTGCATAACAAATCACTGTGAAAGCAGAGACTCCAAACTACACTTTATTACTCTCTCTCACGGCATTCTGTAGGCTGACTAGGCTCAGCCTGGTGACTCTGAGTCAGAGTCTCTTCAGTTTTCAATGACTGGGCCTGAAGACATCTGAAGCAAGAAGAGAGAAACTGGCTTCTACTCTCAGTGGGAAGTACAGCAAAAAATGCACAACTTTCTTTAACGAAGGGTAATGGTGCTTCCAGCAGGAAAATGTTGAGCAATCAGTAAGAGCTCAGGTTGCAGGCAGGCACTGAATAAATACGTGGTTATGAAGAGTGATCTCCTTGTGTGTTTATCTCCAACTGAAGATCTAGAACAAACACCAGAGACCTTATCCACAAAGATTCATTTTAGAGGCATTTTATAGAAGAGAGCACTGAAACCCTGAACAATAAATGACTTGTCTGAAGGTGATTTTGTTATGTTTTGTTCACTGCAGTTAAAATTCTAATACAACTCAACTCATAGATCATTCTGATACAACCAACTCATTGGATTCGAATACAACCCAGACCTTCTAGGTGGGGATTAAATCAGATAATGTATTTTAGGGGTCGTTCATAGCTGGAAATTAATGCCTGATAAATATGAGATACTATTATTATAATTATGACCCTTGAGGATCTGATCACTCTTTTTAAAGCCCTTTTAAATCACTGGGATTCAAGCCAGAAATATTTTTGAAATGTGAACATTAATTCAGTTTATGATCAGGAGGAGCAGTTGAAAGAATTGAAAACCTGTAATTCTACTCTACACTTCCAGGCATAGGTACCATCTTCAATTTTCTAGAAACTCTTCTTTCTGCTGATGTCTGGTATTCTTTCTGTGGATATCTGATATTCTCCAACCAACTCCCTAACCCATAACCCAGCGGGAGGCAAGGATGTACATGCTGGAGCTGGAAATGAGTTAAAAATTTGGACCTCATTGGGCCGGCCGAGTGGCGCAATGGTTAAGAACTCGCTTGGGATGCCAGAGGGCCCCGGTTCAGATCCCATATATGAGGGCCAGTGACACTGCCCTCTACAGCTAAGATGCTGAACAACAGTTCAACCTGGAGCTGGGCTGCCGTGAGTCACTGGCGAGTGAGTCACTGGCGACGGCGTAGGCTGCAGTCCCTGTGGCAGTGGGTTGCCATGGGCTATCATATGTAGCCAGCAGCCAGCGTGAGCAGCCAGCAGCCAGCGTGAGCAGCCAGCAGCCGCAGTGAGCGGCCGTCCAGAAGCCAGCGACTGATCTGCCTCGCCAGGGAAGAGCGCAATGATGGTGCCAACTTGGGCCAGTGAAGCAGCGTCCTCCACAACTAGATTGAAGAACAAAACGACAGAAACTTGTCTGTTCCCCTTCCCCCAATTCTCCATCACTGTTCCCATCCCCCCAATTACCCAATAAAAAAAATCTAAAAAAAAAATTCAAGGTCCGAAACCACAATTCCTTTAAAAAAAAAATTTGGACCTCATTAAAAATTAATCCCCCTCCCCCAAAATAGTTTAGTATTATTTCTAACACCTTGCACCTTAACCTGTGCAGTGCAGCTATGATGACATTATCTGCTCATAAATTTGATTGCTTTTAATTAGAAACATTTTAGGCTGGACTGACAGATTGACTAGCAGGGGATTCGAAGAACATGCTGGAGGAACAGCTTTGTGAGGGGCCTAGGAAATTTCAAGCACCATCTGCTTTACAGGAAAGGAAATGCAAAGAGAAGGAAAAGTGTGTGTGTGTGTGTGTGTGTGTGTAGGGAGATATTGTGTATGTTTTGGAAGTGGGGAATTCAGAAAGAGGGGCTTCAGCAAAGACTTTCTTGAAAAATAAATCTTCCTCTGATCTGAGGAAGGAAATATTTTGATACTGACATCTCCACTGTTTAGGAATAAATATTAGGATAATTAGGATAAAATAAAGTTTAGGAATAAATATTAAATAGCCTCATTAAGGAAGGCTAAACTGATTGTTGTTGTTTTCTTTCTATTTTTGGTTTCAAATAGCTTCAAATTTTAATGATGAGAAAATATTTATTTTATAAAATTTTCAGTGAGAGAGAGAATGATTAATATCATATATAGTATGATCTTGACTATGCTTTTCAAAACAGAAAAAAAAAAGTCTGGAAAGAAACACCAAAATATCCAGAAAAATTACTTTTGTAAGTTAAGATTGAGGTAGGTAATTTTTTTTTATACCTCCATATTTTTCTGTCATTTTCATACTATCTACAAATGATATATATTGATTTTATATTTATTATATACATATAGCTTTAAACTCCCTCCGTATCTATATCTATCTTTGTACAGTTTCATGTTTTTCTTTCTTTTTCAGTTTTGAACCCTGATTTCTTTTTTCTTTTTTCTTTTCCTCGTTGAGGTTTCTGCAGCATTCGCCCTCCCACAGCTCAACACCTGTCTCCTGTCCTCCTCCTAAGTAATTAATTTATCAGGCCCTGTGCTAACTTTTGCTTCCTGGAGAGGTAAGGACTCTATCCTTTGCATCTCTAGAAGGCTTTTTATTGCTTTGATGGGTGAAAAAGGTGAAGCAGAATATAGTCAGTAAGAGTGTGATAACTTTGCATGGTGACATTGTTATTTTAGACTTAGTGTGGAGATCGCACTGTAAGGTATACAAATGTCAAATCACTATCTTGTACACCTGAAACTAATATCATATAGTATACCAAGCGTAAATAAATAAATTGATATATAATTGAAGAAAATGATTTCTGATATGTGAACCTAGGCTTAGGCAATTGTGCGCTTCCCTGTATTGTGCTCTATCATAGGTACTATGAGAATTCTATCACAACTTCTTTACATCTTTAATCTCTGACTTAATTGAAATTGAAATTGGCAGGTCTGCTTCTCCTGGCTAAATGGAAATAGAAATAGAAAATCTCTTTGCAGTTATTTCCTTTGTAGAGCCCAGTTATGTAAGGTATTAATGGGCAACGTGAAATAGCCAAATCATGTTGATAATGAGTTTATCTGCAAAGACTAGGGAAGAGAGAGAGAGGGAGAGAGATCTCCTTGGGAGTCATCAGAGAGAGACTATGGTCTCCTTGAGAGAAGACAGACTTGACTGTAGAGTATCTTTTTCTTCAAAAAACAGCACAGCTTCTGCCACACAAGCTTGATAAATGCTTACTAATGAATAAGTAAATAAAGCAATGAATGATTGTTTAGTACCCTGAGCAATTGTCTTCTTTCTTATGTAAAACAAGGAAAGCATATTATAACATTTCATATTTTAAAAACATATTTATATTTATGTATTTACATTGATTAATATATTAAGTACTTTTTGGGTTCTAATTGCTATCCATACTATATTAAAGACACAAACAAGCTTTTCAAAAAACCATGTTGTGATAAATGCGAGGGTGGAGCACAATTTAACAATTGCTTCCCCAAAAGCCTGTGTGGTTCCTGGCCATATGTGACAGTACAACAACAGAATTAAGCAGATTAGTTCTGCTGATATCCAGACTGTATGTGCAGAGAAGCCTTCTAAAACATTCCTGATAGATATCAGAGGAAGAGAAGGCAATGCAGGAAAATTAGCAGCCTCTACCTTCTTTGAATCTAGCTTGATGTGGTCTTAGCAAAGAGTATTTTGAAGAGACAGGAACACAAAATGATTTGCTTAAGAAGACAGCATTAGAGAAGGGAGATGTCATTCTTTTTATAGCAAAGTAATACTCCGTTGTATAAGTATACCAAAATTTCTTTATCATTTGCAATAACATGGGTGAGCCTAGTGAATATTATGTTAAGTGAAATAAGTCAGACTGAGAAAGACAAATACCATGTAATCTCACTTATATGTGGAAGAACAAATGAGCAAACAAAACAGAAATAGTCTCATAGATACAGAGAACAAACTGACAGTTAGATGTCAGTGGATTGGGGGCAGT